GGTGAAATGAATTTCTACAATACTGTTAATTCTACTCTCTGCAGTGTTTAAATGCTTACATATACACACAGTTACTGTCCCTCCACACAGACGACTCGGTTCTGCTTCTATGCCCCAGCTTTGTTTACTTTTTCCCACCGAGGCTTCTAGACTTCTGATTGGCCAACATTTCTGCACGGTTAGGAATCTAGCGCCACCTGCTGCTTTGGCATGTTCATAGCAGCGTTTTCCTTCATTTCTGCCTTTATGTGTGGACGGGATTATTTTTAAAACGGAAAATCTCCGTTTTCAAAAACACCCGTGTACGTGTGGACGTAGCCTCAGTCTCTGACTGGAAGCGCTAATTCGTCATTCGGCTTTTGTCAGACTAAAGTAACTGTTAAAACTGTTTGAAAAGCTCAGCTATACAACAAGGAGAGATTGAGAATTTCCTTTTAGTTCTCAGTTTATTTGACATTGACAAAAGTTAGTCAGTTTTGTCTGTTCTTCTGTAAAACAAACTAAGATTTATTTTTAGAATTAATACTTTGTTTCTAAGTGGAATCGACAGTTTAGTCTGTTTCGTTTGTTCTATTTTGAAACTTAAACGCTTTAGCGGCTGCCTTTTGTGTAGTTTGCAATATTTGCCTTTATTTATCTGAAAAAGTCTCATGTTCCTTAAGTACATCTACCCTGTTGAACTTATTATGGGAAATAAATATTTAAATAAAAACAAGCTGCTGATTATTTCACAATTTACTTGTGAGCAACGGCACATTTAAATCTTACAAATATAGTTATTTGGCTTATATCGTGATAGATATCGTTATCGCCTGAAATGAAAAAAACATATCGTGATATGAAAAAAAATCTTATATCGCCCAGCTCTATTATGAAGACACTCAAAATAAATTTCCTGTTGTTGTAAACTATTTTTTGCAACTCTTTTGTATTTAAAGTTTTGAGGGATAAACCTCTTAAATTTCTCCAAGTAGAAATATATGTAAAAACAAAACAAAAGCGATTTTCAATTTTTTTTTTGTAGTTTATTGCACTTTTTTGCAATTAATGTAGTTACTATGGACTTAATGCATACATATTATTAAAATATGGGCTATAACAGTTGCATAGCAACTTGAAATGCTCCCACAAATGGCACTACAACATGTAAAAAACTAATATAAGCTCTGGCGGACTTGGTTCTATAGTAGGTCTTAAAGGGTTAAATAAATATCGTCAAATAATCGAGATCTCAATTTCAGTGAAAATAATCGTGATTATCATTTTTGCCATAATCGAGCAGCCATACCTTCAGGTCAGGTGTAAACACACCTGACTGTGAAGGGCTTTGTCTGGAGCCTTTTGTCATAAACTGAGGCAGATCACTTGGTGATCAGACTTTTCAGTGTCTTTGGTTCAGCTGAAAAGGTATTTCTGATGTTGCTGGTAGAGCAGGGCGACCAAAAGTATTCATCACCATATACATTTGAAAATTTGCAATAACGATATAACTGACGATATAATTGATGTGAGACAAAATACTTTACAACTCCACAACTTTATTAGTGCAAACAAAAAAAACACCTCATCAATGTATTTTGACTTAAACAAGCAGCTGTTTTGTTTTTTTTATCTGCATTAAAGTTATATAAACATTTAACAGTGCAAATGCAAATTCCTCACTGACAGTTTAACCAAAAGGCATTTCCAGTGGAAACTGGCCGACATATCCTCAGCATAACCATGTATAACATCCACAAAACTTAAAAAGAGGTTATACACACACAATACGGTAACATGTTGAAGCACAGTACGTATCACTCCGCTAGGCTCCGCCTACGATAGCCGTAATGCTCCGACAATCCATCAAGTGCGGCTTCGTAGCTTAGCAAAGTCGTACTGAAACATTTTCGAGCGCCGTGCACATAAAATCGTTTCGAGGTCAGTAAACACAACCAGAATTCATACATAAGGCACACGGGATTATAAGGGGCTCTGTCGACTTTCAGAAAAATCAAAGGATTGATTTTAAGTGCGCCGTATTTTCCAAACAACACGGTAATAACGACGGCCCGCTAGCATGCACTACCAAAAATAGTGCTTTGTTGTGTATCTGACGGACGAAAGCTAAACCAGTTCCACACCAGTGAAGCTGCAGCATTTTTACAAACCAGTTCAGGTTCATCTGTTTCATTCAACGATCCGCTTTCGCTCTTCTCATTCTCCGTCACAGCCATGTGCGTATGTAAATAAAGGCACTGCGCATGCGCGTTTTACCCATATTCTATCGTTATATTTCATTTTCTTATCGTTGCCCAACATTACACCGGTATCACTGTGAACGGTATGATATGGCCCAGCCCTGGTTGCTGGAGCAGTGGTCCAGTGTTCATTTCTCCTGGTGGGGAAGGTCACAAACTAATGTGGTTTGAGCATGTTTTTCCCATGATTGCAGTGGTTAAAATCTCCCAGAATGATAACAGCGGCATCAGGATATGTGTTTTCATATTCATTAATCCTGGTGTTGGCCAGAGGGGCCGATAGTGCGATATGGCAGCCTGGCTTCTGTCAGTCTGCCCCAGGGCAGCTGTGGCTACAACTGTAGCTGCTCCACCGGTGTGTGAATGTGAGAGTGAATGAATAGTGGCATTGTAAAGCGCTATATAAATGCAATCCATTATTATTATTATTATTAATCATGTCATGTTGCTCCTTTAATGCAGCCTCCTCTTCAGTGCAGGGGGGTATGTACACAACACTCACAGTGATGCATTGCAATTCTCTGGGCAGGTACAATGGCATTAGCTTCAGGGTCAAATGATCTTACAGTGAGTACACCATGATTGTCTGAGGAGGGCAGCTGTTCCTGCACCAGGAGTCTTACCGCTATCCGCAGCACACCGGTCCTTCCTGAAGACTGTGTAGCCGCCTGTTGTTAGTGCCTCGTCGGGTGTCCTTTCCCCCAGCCAGGTTTCGCAGAAACACAATATGGAACAATCCTGAATCTCCTTCTGTGTAGAAATCCAGGCCTGGAGTCGTCCATTTTATTTTCCAGGGACTGAACAGTATGACCGGGAGGGTTAGCCTTTCGTTGCTAACCAAAGGGCTGAGCTTCTGGTCAGCTGCTCCCCGACTGCCTCGCCTCTGCTTCGGCCTGTTCCTAGGAGGGCTCCCAGTCAGGGGCCGGCCTAGCGTCGAGTCAGTACAGCCTGATAGCTCAGGGTAGGATTCCAGGAAGCACTGCGCTCTCTGTTGTAATAAGGTCATGCGATCATAGCGAACTTTTGTATAGTGTGTCTTAACACTATACAAGGGTTGGCAGTTTGCCTTGTAATCGGAAGGTTGCCGGTTCGAGCCCCGGCTCCAACAGTGTTGGTCGTTGTGTCCTTGGGCGAGACACTTCGCCCGTTGCCTACTGGTGGTGGTCAGAGGGCCCGGTGGCGCCAGTGTCCGGCAGCCTCGCCTCTGTCAGTGCGCCCCAGGGCGGCTGTGGCTACAATGTAGCTGCCATCATCAGTGTGTGAATGTGTGTGTGAATGGGTGGACCCCCATGATCGGAAGGTCGGCGGTTCGAATCCACTTAACAGCTACCCTGAGGTACCCCTGAGCAAGGTACCGTCCCTACACACTGCTCCCCGGGCGCCTGCTTAGTGGGCTGCCCACTGCTTCACTGAGTGAATGGGTCAAATGCAGAGAAAAACAAGTAATTTCCCCATGGGGATCAATAAAGTATCCATTATTATTATTATCCATTATTATTAAAGCGCTTTGGGGTCCTTAGGGACCAAGTAAAGCGCTTTACAAATACAGACCATTTACCATTTAACTCGGTACAACAAAAAAAAAGTAACTTGACTTGGAGAGCTGACCGCCAAGAGTGGAGTTATACTGGGTGGTTCAATTCTTTGGAATTGTTAGTCTGTTTGCCCATTGATTCATCTTATTGATTCCACTTGAACTACAATCAGCTGATTTCAGTTTGTGTGCCAGAGCAGTAAAATAGTCGTGCAATCTAGAACCTGGACGTGGACATGCTTTTATTTTCATTGCACAAATGGATAAGAGCGCAATGTTACACTGGAAGCTGCATCAGGATAGAAACAACTGCATTATACTGCAAGCAAACCTTTGGCTCGTTGCAAGTATCTGCACAGACAGCCTGCTAACACTAAGCTAGCCAAGAATGTTAAAGCTGAGTGCTGAACCCGGCCCAGCAGCCACAGCCTGAACTTCAGCAGCAATGAGCCTCCATCTCTACCTGTTCATATTTTCCCAACAACTGTGGCAATTCTAACAAAATCTACTCGTGCAAATTCTCAAGTCTGGACTGTCAAAATGAAAGTAAGCATTGCTTTATGAACTCATAGTGTTAAATTTGAACATGTCTGTTTTTTTCAGTTGATTTCTTTTTTTTGGAGTATGCAGGTCAGGTGTTATGACTGGGAAATATTTACATTTCTATAGGTGTATTATATATGTGTATTTATTAACAGCCAGCAGTATGTTTTAAAGTGTTACAGTACTGAACATAGCTGTTAATAGTCAAAATCTTGGATGTGCACATTTCTGACAAAATTCATATTCGAACAGGCTCACACGAAATGAGATGTTCAGTAGGAGTTCCCTTTTACTTATTATTTTCTGTGAGGAACCCCACAAATCACCATACTTCATCATCATATTATTATTATAATTATTATTGTGCTTTATGAGCCAAAATGGTCACTCTGGTGCACCTGCCACTAAGACTTCCATCTTTTTAAAACACTGTAATAAAAAACATTGTGCTGCAGTCATTTTCACACTAATAGCTTTTATTCGTCACTGTGCTTTACAACCATCATTGTAATATTTGCAAATATACCAATGAATGTTTTTGCTGTTCTTTGTCAGTCTTTAGATTTATATTTCAGACCATGAGACATGCGCTACAAAATAATACGCTGTGACTTTGTTTTTACTTCTTTTAGCCAGACATATCATATAAAGCAGTTACACTGAAAAAACTGTTTGTGTTTTAGGAGCAGTGACTGTCGTGTGTGAGGTGTCCCAGCGTATTGACGACAATACCCGGCACCATGAGAACCACTTGGAGCTTTGCCGTGTGCAGAAACTGCTGAAAGGGAGAAAGATGAAGGTGTTGGCTCCAGGTTAGATCCTCTCATTAAATATTCCTTTGATCTCCTTCAAGAACTACCTCTATACATCTTCTCTGTTGCTGCATCTATTGCATGCATGCATCTATGCCTTCTGGGACACACTGGGGGAGAGAGGAAAACCAGACCAGCACACATAAACTAAAGGGGAAGTGAGGTCATTAAGAAGAAACTCATCCGTACTGTTCAAAATTCATAAATAGCAGAGCCTTATTTAGAAGTGTGCAACAAGTCCAATCGTGAGATTTCCTCATTACTAAATATTCTACAGCTGTTTGTGGAAAACTGGGAAAGACGACAACTCGGCCACAAAGTGGGAGGCCGTGTAAGATCACAGCGTCAGAGAAGGCTGCGGCACATTGAGTAGAGGTCACTAAGTTTCAATAAAGTCAGTCACTACAGACCTCCAAACTCCATGTGACCTCTTGGTTTCCATGGCTGAGCAGCTGCATCCAAGTTTCACTAACCACAATGCAAAGTGTCGTGTGTGGTGGCACGCTGCCACTGGAAGTGGAAGTGGAGATGTGGTCTCTGTGACGGTGTTTCTTTGCCCGGCGATCCGATGGATGAGTCTTGGTTTAGCAGTTGTCAGGGGAATGGTGCTGCCTGCACTGTGCCCAGGATGGTGGAGGTGGGATTTTAGTCTGAGGCCCCTTAGTTCCAGTGACAGGAACTCATAATGCTGGAGCAAAGACATTTTGGACCATTTCATGCTCCCAACTTTGTGGGAACAATTTTAAGGATGGCCCCTTCCTGAGCTTGGTGTGGAAGATCTTGACCAGCCGGAGTCCTTTCCCACAGCCTCCTTCATCAGTTTCTGACCTCACAAGTGCTCCTGGAATAATGGTCAACCTTCACAGAAGATTTGAAGCTGTGGGCCGGCATATTAAACTCTTTGGATTAAAGCAAATAATCAGTATAGTGTATGCTACACATCATATCAATAATAATTAGTGAACCATCAGGTTCTGTTCTGTTATTTCCCCACAGCCCTGTGCTTCCAGCCACTCCACGCCCTGCTGGTATTTGTCCTGGATGTCGCTGCTGCCACTGTCCCCCACGACCAGTCATCTCGTGGACTCGAAGTTAAAAAGGAAGCCAAAATGTGTTGTCTGGGAGTGTGTGCTGGATTTGAGGAAATACATGTATGCATGATGTCCTGAGTCTGTGTTTGTGTGCTTGGATATGAAGGCGTGTTTTCCGTGAGTATGTGTGGCTGTTTGTGTTGTATGGGCTGGAAGTGGCGGCTGAATAGCAGCTCTTCTTTCTAATGCCGATGTGGGCATTAGTTTCAAAAGCTTTCTCTCATCCAAGTTCTCAGGCCCTCAAAACTCTGCTGTCAGCTTCCTTTCCAGCCAATAAAGCTCTGGTCCCACCAGGCAGACTTCAGAGCTGCAGGAGTACCACCTCACCCCGCAACCCCACACAGACTCATTCTCCTTCCTCCCCACCAATGCCACCTCTAATGTGGGTAAAAGAAAAGCTGCCTTTGACAGATGAGAAGCATTGGAGCCCCTCAAACATATTAAGTAGCTCTGTAGGAGATGGGGGGGGGGGGGGGTGTTTGTGCGCCACAAAGCCTGAATCAATGGGACATCAGTGCAGCAGGCAGCAGCCTCTTTCCCTGGGAGGCCACAGCTTTATGTCTGCCTGTCTGTTCCTTTATTTTAAAACAAAGATGTCTCACATTTTATATCGTGCTTCACATGGATTCTCCCCTTGTGTCCTTTATGTTATTGATAGTTTCACACAAGTTTCCTTATGCATCATCTACCATTTCTCTGTCTGTTTTTTCTAATCACATTACATTATGATTAATACAAGCTTCAATAAATAGAAAGTAGAAAAGTTATTCTGTACTGAATTGTCTTTAAAGTGCAAAAATCATACATTTCTTTTATATTGAGTTCAATATAACAGCTATTACGTAGGGCTGCTCAATTAATCGAATTTTAATCACGATTACGATCTGGGCTTTCAACGATCATTAAAAATGACTGAGCCGATTATTAGCCCCTCCCTCATTTATCCGCGACACCTTAAAGGCCGGTCCGTGAAAATATTGTCGGGCATAAACCGTCCGTGGCGCAAAAAAGGTGGAGACCGCTGATTAAGAGGACCCGAGGGAAGCTCGGAAAGCTAAGCAGAAGTTATTTGGAGAGTGACTGCCGTTGGTTGAAAAGAGTTTAAAAAAAAAAACTTCAGTGGTGTTGCACACTATTTTATATTATTTTTTTAAAGTCATTGTTAACCCTTTAAAGCCGGTCAGAGCAGCATGCTCCGTGTTGTGTAACTATTTTTAAATCCCTGTAGAACCTGAACCGTGTAAGCTAGCGCAATAATTTGTTTTGCATATGAAACCGGAGTAGTTGTACTTACATCTGATGCCATCAGCTTGTCCTCGGTCACGGTTTCGTTCCACATATAGCTTTGCAAAAATTGCATAAAAAGCGCTTGCAGGAACAAAAACATAATATTCCAGAAACACGCTTTGCCGATCCGATCAGCTGTTCGTAACACTTCCCACAGTGAAATGATGCACATGCTGTTTTCTTTGCAAATTTGCATCATAGGATTGTTTTTTGTTTTTCCTGCAGTATATAAAAATTGGTGTATCTCCAAAATAAAACTATGAAGACACTCAAAATAAATTTCCTGTGGTGGGAAACTATTTTTTGCAACTTTATTGTATTTAAAGTTTTGAGGGATAAACCTCTTAAATTTCTCCAAGTAGAAATATATGTAAACAAAACAAAAACGATTTTCAATTTTTTTTGTAGTTTATTGCACTTTTTTGCAATTAATGTAATTACTATGGACTTAATGCAGACATATTATTAAAATATGGGCTATAACAGTTGTATTGATGTATAGCAACTTGAAATGCTCCCACAAATGGCACTACAACATGTAAAAAAAATAAATAAAAATAATATAAGCTCTGGTGGACTTGGTTCTATGGTAGGTCTTAAAGGGTTAAATAAATATCGTCAAATAATCGTGATCTCAATTTCAGTGAAAATAATCGTGATTATCATTTTTGCCATAATCGAGCAGCCCTACTATTACGTTATATTATACACAGATATTCTAACAAGAAGAGGATTTTTTAATCTCTCAGTTGATGATTAGTTGAACTCAATGGGGAGTCGAGTCAAAGTTAAATCATTTACGTGAAAAAGTGAACGCTCATCTCTGAACCAAGGAGAAGGCTAGATGACATATTTTAATGTCTTACGATGCTGCAGCCACCCCCCGCTCTCTGTGAACGGGACTTGTGGCTGTTGATCATGGCAGTGACATTTTGCATATTATTGATCATGAAACTGACCTCATGGCTCATTGTTGGTCAGTGTTTTAGGCAGGCAGATATACCGTGTAAAAGGTTAAGACAAACTGCAGCCAGCTGAGACTGACGAAGTCACTTAAGAGAGTGATGAAATAGTTCTAGCACAGAAAACACTGTCCATGTATGCATGTGAGCACAAGTGGTTGTCTGTCTCCGTGTTGGACACAAAGAAAATGAGTGGATGGTTGTTAAAAATATGATTTTTCTGCTCATTCTTTATCAATATCCATTGTTATACAAAAATACATGTTATGAGTTATATCTGCGATTTGATTGATTACTTTGATATTTTACTGACTTGACAGCTGTAGTATTGTTCAATCTTTCTACTCTTGCATTCAACAATTCAGTAGATTTCAGTGGAGCTTAGTACAACGCCCCCAACACTGGCCACTCCCAAACAATGAGGATGAAGTACGTGCGGACTCGACACACCCACCAACACTAACCCTGACTTACCCTCAGTCTGCTGGATCTGTTATTCTCCTGGGCCCTATTTCAGGAAGCCGGTTTAGAAAACTCAGAGTGAAAAACGATACTCAGGGTTGAGTAACCCCGAACTGTCCAACTCGGAATATTCGGTTTCAGAAAGGCTGATAACAATTAGTTCAGTCAACGCGGAGTTGCTTTAACCCCAAGTGAAGCGCGCGGACGAGGATGCATAAAGCCCTGATTAGTGGAGCACAGATTAAGCGAGTCACCATGGAGACGGAGGGAAAGAAGGCGCGGTCAATGTATTTCACAGCGCTTGAGGCCGAAATTCTGATGGCAGCATATGCAGATAACATGCAAATTCCGCGGAAAAAAAGTAACACAGCCTCAGCTGCAAAAGAAAGGGAGCATGCATGGCAAAACATAGCCGACAGAGTCAATGCGTGAGTGTTAATATAAACATTGATCTAGGGATTTCCACCCATTTAACACGTTATTTTATTATATTATTTTATTTTTTATTTCATACATTTTATTTTGTGATGTGATGTGAGCGCAGGTGCAACCCAACAGGCCCCAAACGTTCCTGGCAGCAAGTAAAAATGAAATATAAAAATATAGTCCAAACAGGTAAGGTGTAATTGTATTATGAGCCATAGTGCTTGGTCTGTTTGTCCCATGTAAATCAATTGCAGTTAGAGGCTACATTAATTTTCTTTCTGTAAGCACTTATTGAAATTATCTGAGCACATTACAAGTACATATTTGCTTACTCTGTATGTTCAAATGTGACCCGTTATAGCCAACAGAAAAAAAGCGGAGGCCCGAAAAACAGGTGGAGGTCGTCCACCACCACCACCACTCACAGAGGCTGAGCAGTTGGCTTCCACATTTGTGATAATGTTGGCAGCATCACATATGATCTTCACAGTGCAGAGAACACAAATTAGCATCCATTACTATAATGAAATAATTTGTTAGTTTGAAATGCTACAGGGAACTATGTACCTGCACATTAATGCTGTGGAAAGACTTCCTGTTCACATAGTCTCCTTCATTTACTGAAGGAGCAATGATTGGAATGTGAGTGCCATCTATACAGCCAATCACGCCTGGGAACCGTGAGAATAAATGTAAAATTTAAGTAGTAGTTCAAATATCACCACATCATGAATTAAGTTTCGTTCATCCTGCTACCTGCAATTTTGTGGAA